GTACACTTGTCTGACCACAAGGCAACAGGCTCTGATGATATCTCAGCAGAGCATCTGAAGTTTGCAAGCCCTAAGACTTCTGTAGGCCTCGCCCTTGTTTCTCTGGGTTTATGACCCACGGTCTGCTGCCTGACTCCTTACTTTTGGTCACTTAGTGCCTGTAATGAAAGACAAAGCTGGTAAAGTTGGGAGCCTGGATAACTACAGGCCAATAGCCTTCACTAGTGTCATCTCCAAGGTTTTAGAAAGGATATTGCTGGATTGTCTGTGTCTGTATAACAACGACACACAACCAGTTGGGCTTTAAATCCAAGCGGGGAACAGATCTGTGCATCTATGGCCTGAAGGAGGCAGCTCGGTCTTCTGTAGAACAAGACTCCAGTGTTGATGGGGTTTACTGATGCATCAAATGCATTTGACAGGGTCAGCCACTCTAAATGAAGTGTCCCCGATAGCGTTCTAAGAATCATGGCGTACTGGTATTCTAATCAGAGAATGCAAGTTAAATGGAACAATATTCTATCAGCCACCTTTGCTGTTGGTAATGGGGTGTGTCAGGGGGCTACTGTCACCGTATCGGTTTAACCCTAACCCTAACTAAACAGCTGTAAAATGAGATGTGTGGGTGGTAACAATATGATTAATCATTCATGTATGCTGATGACGGTCATCCTTTCTCCCAGCAGTGCTGGCTTTCAGCAGCTGCTATATATTTGCCATGAGTATGCAATAACGTATTACCAATATAACGCAAAAAAGAGTTGTACCGATATGTAGGACAAAAGGAGATAAAGATTTTTGTTTCCCAGACTTTTACTTGGCTGACAAAAAGATGCGTGTCTCAGAGAAAACCAAATATTTTTGCCACTCTGGGATGATGGTGACATTAATCGGCAGTGCCGTATTCTGTAGGCTCTGGCTAACATTTTGTCCAGGAGGTTTCATATGTGTTCAATGTGAAAATCCTTTATAATGACAGGTTTTTAATGTATCTTTATTGTAGTTATTCTTATCTCTTTTATTATGTTGGACCATTGTGACTGTTGATATAAGTCTATAATAAAGTTTATTATTACTATTACTGCACTGAAAACATGTAGAGGTATTTAACTGTTGATTTTATGGTAGGTAATATGTTATGGGAATTACATCAAAGGCTAACAGTGTGTATGTGTGTATATGTATACACACGCACACACACATATATATGTATGTATGTGTATAAGAGACTTAAAAACAATACAAAAGACATGCATACCAGTGTCTCCACATGGATGACTGGTAACGCACTGCACTAAAATGGGGATCAACCAGCATCTGCACAAGTCTGTGCTTAGAGTTCTTCGATCGCAAGATAAACCTGTACATCTAATTCCTCATTATGGCTTGGAAGGTCCTGACATGAGCATTACAAAATAAAAGACTTGCATTACAGGACCGATGCTTCCCTAGCAGAGTCCTAAATGCATTGTTGTAGGCTACTTTAAGCTTATGCAAGCTGGCTTTCCTATACTTTCACCACAAAGGTGCAGTATACAAAGGTTTGCAGTTGTCACGTTGCGAGTCAGGAGGAGGTTTGGACCCAAAATGCAGACACCCAGAACGGCATGAGGCAGGAGTGGATGTAAATGAAAACATTCCTTTATTAGGAAGTAGAACAAAAAAAAATCCAAAGGGCAGGGAGCCAAAAAACTAATGTCCTGAAACCCAGGAGAACGAAAGCTCACATAGAGCACAAAACCAAGAGACGAGGAACAAAACAACGCTGACACCAAACAATGGACCGACCAAACACTGACAGACAGGGCTTTATACGCTGGGGAGGATGAGAGGGAGATGACCTGCAGGTGTGTGGGGAGAGAGACCAGGTGAACTGAGTTACTAATCAGGGAAGAAAACTAACATGACCTAAGAATAAAACCTAAAGACAAGAAGAGCAGGAAACATAACTTAATAATTTAAGGGGGGAGAAAACCTCAAACGCCGATGGGAAGAACACATTAGAGAGACTAATAATATGAACAGCTGTAGCTAAAGAAAAATGACCTGAGAGAAAAACCTAAAGACCAGAAGGGCAAAAAACATAATATTCTAAGGGGGAGCTGAAACTAAAGGAAAAACACTACAGAAAGAAAAGCTACAGGGGCGTGACTAAAGGGGGCCACGGGAGCACAGGAACTGGGAGGGGGATATCTGAGGAGGGAAACCTAGAGGGCAGAAGATTGAGGGAAAAATGGAGAACACCAGGAGACACACGAGGAAGACGCAGAACAAGGACACAAGAGGACGCTAGGAGAAACAAAAGGAGAACCTAGAGAGGGATGGAGAACACCAGGAGACACAAGAGGAAGACGCAGAACAAGGACACAAGAGGGCGCTAGGAGAAACAAAAGGAGAACCTAAAGAGGGATGGAGAACACAAGGAGACACATGAGGGGAGACGCAGACCATGACAACAGTAGGTTCTAAAAAGGTGGATTTTTATCTTATCAGAACACGTGGAATTTCCTGACCAAAATATTGGCTTCGGCATACAAAGCGCGACATTGCCGGTAAATGTCGTCGCCGTCACAGAGCTGATCTGTGATGATGTGACCCAAATATTTAGCTTTTTCACTGACACTTATCTTCTTGTCAACCAAGTAGAAGTCCGGGAAACAAAGATCCTTATCCCCTTTGGTTCGACAAATCAGCACAACACTCTCATAAATTTGCTGTTTCATGCGAGGCCGATTAGAACTCAGAGCAGATGCCGCTTGCTTCACACCCTGCTTGGCCGTCTTGGAATGTTTGACAAATGGCTGCAATGACGTGCACAAATTAATAAATATTTAACTAACAAGTATGAAGATTATAATCTGATCTAATCTGAGAAATGGTCCCAACAAGTTGAGAGAACCAGTATATATATATATATATATATATATATATATATATATATATATATATATATATATATATATTAGGGCAGAGAAAAGTAGCACCCTTAATTATTAGCGTTAATTTAATTATTTTAACGTGTTAAAAGTAAACGATGTAATTAATTTGAACATCTCTCCAACCCGGAGCCACCATTCTCGAAAATGTCTCCATATTTCCCCCTGGACAATATTGCCAACATCATTTACTGAGCCTGAAAATAAGAAAACAAAACAAAGAGATTGGAAAGGAAAATGTAGGTAGATTTATCCCACTACATGTTTTAACATTCTAAAGTAAATATTATTTATAAGCTCATAATATTCATATATTCCATACAATTCAGATCACCTTCAAAACTCCGTCCCACCCAGGGCCTTATCAAGGCATTTGGGGGCCATGCCAGCGAGGTGTCCCTTATTTATTTTTTGGGGAGTTGGCAATCCTAGTTCAACCGATGCTGTGGAAAATGACATTTACATTGAACAACAGAAGCTAGCTGTGCTAGATTTATTTCCTGTTCATTGTTTACACAATAGACTTTTTCCATCAATGTCTTTGAACAGAAACTGGATTTGATTTTAGGTTTTCTCTGTTAAAGACACACACACACACACACACACACACACACACACACACACACACACACACACACACACACACACACACACACACACACACACACACACACACACTCACACTCACACACACACACACACACACACACACGCACACACACACACACACACACACACACACACACCGTCCAGTAAAAAGAATGTCACCACCCAAAAAGTTCACACACTAATATTTTGATGGGCGATCTTTAGCTTCGACTATGACACGCATTAGCTGTGGCATTGTTTTGACAAGCTTGTGCAATGTTGTTGTGAACGTCGTCAGCCATCCAGGTCATGGTAATCTAAAGGAGTACGAACAAAGTCAACTGGACTTCTTTAGTTTCTTGAAGACAACTTGCTTCTCATCCAATATGGGAGGGTCAAGCTTATAAACCAAAGCTATCTATTTGACCTGAAGAGGTGGCTCTACTGTGTTGTGCCGTTTACTTTTGTAGTTCTTGTTTAGTTTCCCCGATGTAAATATCTGGACAGTCCTCACTACACTTATATGTCGTATAAACAACGCCACTGAGCTTCTGTTTGGGTGTTTTGTCTTTAGGATGGACCAGTTTCTTTCCGAGGGTGTTGTTAGGTTTAAAGTTTACCGGGATATTGTAGATTCTTCATTTCTGGAAAAAGAAATGAGTCATAGACGCACAAGAGCAGCTAAACAAGAAGCGGATAACACAGTAAAGAAATCAGCCATACCAGACCACTGCACAAGAGAAAATCATATAAAGGACTGGGGCAACACATGGAGCATAAAAACAGAACAACAAAAGTACAAAAGATGGATAAAAGAGGTGTTTGACATAAAGAGACATAGACCCTGGACTGAATAGGGATGAAGGAGTGTCCACACTGGATCTTTCATGGGACATGGTGCTCAGCAAGGAGAGCAGACATTAGAGGACAATGTCGCCCTCTGCTGCCCGCAGATAAACAGCCATGAAAGTGACACCGTCAACATAGGTAAAGCTCTGACGGAGGCGACTGTAAGGAGCCGAAACTGTCAGCAAGTTATGGTAAAAATAGAAACTTTGCTAGTCTGTGAAAAAAGAAAAACAATGGAATAATAAACGAAACACAGGAAGACCGTAACAAGGATTTCTTGAGCAATTTTTGTCTAAAGGGTCCAAAATATTTTATAACCAGTGATGCCTGAAACACCTTGAACTTCATAAAAATAATCAAGGTGCTTGTGATTCACCTTTTCTATGTCCACTCATGGTGAGGGTCACAGTAGCACAAGTAAAGATGTCACAACTAACTGGCCCATGAGTGTTGATCAGGCATCAGCAACATTACCCATTTCCTGCTCCAGTACATCTGATGAACAGACAGCAATACATCATCATGAAACTCAGCCTTTTTCACCCAGCTTTGACTCAAAGATGAATTTGTGTCCCACTTTGTGATTTATCCCATTTTTCAGCCTTTCTTCTTCTTTCTGTTTCCAAGTCATCCCAGTGATCAGAAAGATCCAAGCTGGTTTAGCAGTAACATCTCCATAGCTAATGTTGATTCCCTGATGGACAAGTGCAATGGCCAGTCAGAGCATTCCACGTATCAGACCAATCACAGTGGAGCTAGTAGGGAAAAGACCAAGGTATGAAAAAAGCCAGTTTCAGGTTGATCCTCATTGTTTGGTTGTGAGCTTTTGGGATGGCTTGTATTTTCAGAGAGAGAGCCCATCACCCTCCCACTCTACATCCAAACGAGAGATGAAGCTGATGGAGAAGATCCCTGGGCAAGCTGAGGCCACAATTCTACTTGTTGGTATGCATCAGACAGAACAAGAATCCACCAGAACCACAGAAGGAATCAAAAATGATAGTGGCATCAAAGTGTAAGGACATGATCATAGACTCAAACTATTTTAGATCATCAACAGTTTATTAAGAAAACAATTATTAAAACTGTTAATCCAGGGCCAGGGTCTAATAGGATCTGGGTTCTGATGGGGTTGGGTTCTGATAGGATCCGGGTTCTGATGGGGTCGAGTTCTGATAGGATCTGGGTTCTGATAAGGCCGGGTTCTGATAGGATCTGGGTTCTGATGGGGTCGGGTTCTGATAGGATTTGGGTTCTGATGGGGTCAGGTTCTGATAGGATCTGGGTTCTGATGGGGTCGAGTTCTGATGGGGTTGGGTTCTGATAGGATCTGGGTTCTGATAAGGTCGGGTTCTGATGGGGTCAGGTTCTGATAGGATCCGGGTTCTGATGGGGTCGGGTTCTGATAGGATTTGGGTTCTGATGGGCTCAGGTTCTGATAGGATCTGGGTTCTGATGGGGTCGGGTTCTGATAGGATCTGGGTTCTGATGGGGTCGAGTTCTGATGGGGTCGGGTTCTGATGGGGTCGGGTTCTGATAGGATCTGGGTTCTGATAAGGTCGGGTTCTGATGGGGTCAGGTTCTGATAGGATCTGGGTTCTGATGGGGTCGGGTTCTGATAGGATCTGGGTTCTGATGGGGTCAGGTTCTGATAGGATCCGGGTTCTGATGGGGTCGGCTTCTGATAAGACCTGGGTTTTGATAGGGTCAGGTTCTGATAGGGTTGAGTTCTAATAGGATCAGGGTTCTAATGGGGTTGGGTTCTGATGGGGTCAGGTTCTGATGGGGAAGGGGTTGTGGGTTAAATGCTTCCCTCTGCTGTGTCTGCAGGCAGTGTGGGGTTTCTGGAACATCCCTGCGTGGCGTTTGTGCGTCTGCAGGAGGCCGTCCTGTTGGAGACGGTGACTGAGTCTGCCATCCCAATCAGGTTCCTTCTCCTCATGTTGGGTCCCCCCACCACCAATACTGATTACCACCAGATTGGACGCTCCATCGCCACACTCATGTCAGACAAGGTGAGTTCCTGTCTGTGGGTCCATATTTGTCTGCAGAGACAACCTTCAGATGGAGATCGATGACTCAAGGAATTTTGGATTCTCTCAGAACTTCCGTGAGGCAGTGTACCAAGCAGAGAACCGTCAGGACCTACTGACAGCCATCGACTGTTTCCTGGACTCCAGCGTGGCTGTCCCTTCAGATGAGGAGTTGCTTCAGTCAGTCCCTCACTTTGAAAGAGAAATGCTTCACAAAAGGCAGCAGAAGCAAACCAACTGTGACCAGCATCAAGGCCAGTTTCGGCTAACAGAACAAAGTTGTACTTCAGTCCAAACTTCACAGGGAAAATCATTAAAATAATAACATTGTTTTAAAAAGAAGTTTTATTTGGATATGTTTTCTTGAAAGCAACTGACAACTGGAGAGAGCCTCCAATCATGTTGTATGAGAAAGGCCTCTCTTCTACCTACTCTAAAATCCGGATGTTCTTCTGTAGATTCTGTGGTTCAGTCCAAGTCTAGTGCTGATCCCCTGAGACGTTCAGGTCGTCTGTTTGGAGGACTGATCAAAGATGTGAGGCAACGCTACCCTCAGTACCTCAGTGACATCCGAGATGCTCTAAACCCTCAGTGCATGGCTGCCATTATCTTCATCTACTTTGCTGCTTTGTCTCCAGCCATTACCTTTGGTGGACTGCTTGGTAAGTCTGACCCGTAGAAGGACATGTAGGTTGAAGCAGAAGCTACCTGGAGACCTGTGAGCACTATCTTGTGATGCAGGTGAGAAAACAGAGGGCCTGATTGGTGTATCAGAGCTGATTGTTGCCACGTCGTTGCAAGGCATCGTGTTCAGCGTTCTAGGAGCTCAGCCTCTGCTGGTGATTGGGTTTTCTGGACCGCTGCTGGTGTTTGAGGAAGCCTTCTTCTCTGTGAGTTCAACTGACAGAATTGGTCTCTGATAGTTTCTAGAATAAATTGACAAGTTTATTTATGAACTTATTTTATCTACAAACATCTTTTTTTAAGAGGATTAAACCACTGTCAGGTGTACTATCTTGTTTTCTAGCAGGTCCTCTTACAGGAAAAACTGTTCTAAAACATTAATCACAAAACAATTATAATTTTCCCTCGTTGGCGCATCCTAACCATATATAGGCAAAAAATCTAAAGCATTCCTGAAAGTCAATAAAAGCACAGAAGAATACAGTAAATAGTGTAACAACCGTACTTATACACAGATCTGTGTGTATTCCTCCATAGGAACGATTTTACACATTGTGTGGTATGTACAGTACTAGTGATGCTCAGATCCGATCACATGAATTTCATTGAATCGGAATTTGGTGGAAAAGACTGGATTTAACCATTTAAAATGACAAACATAACTTTTTTAATTCATCCTGAGAAAGAGCTTTACAAACGGAATAACAAAGGCTTAGTTTTAAATTCAACAAGTTCCTCTACGCCAGTATTCTGAGGCCTAGTCCACACGTAGCCGGGGTTTTTTAAAAACGAATATCCGCCCCTCCAAAAACTTGCATCCACACCACCGCGTTTTAAAAACAAACTGTCCACACGTACCCGGATAAATATGTTGATAAGGACATGCCAGACCTGTAGGCGGCAGTACTTCCCCCTTTCTTAACCTCGTCCTTCGTCTGTGGTCTTCCGCAAGGAGCAGTAATTCCGCTTGCAAAAACAAACAAGCAGAAAGCGCTTGGACAATTGATGGATCGGGTAGTGCAGCTCTGAGGGCTTCCTTGATGCCGGCTAGTGTAAACACAGGTCGCACACATGATGTCAGCATTTTTTTGTCGCGGAAAGTGACGTTGCGGACCTTAAAACTCCGGTTTTGTCCGTCCACACGCAGACACCCAAAACGGAGAAAACGCAGATCTTCACTTTGGCCGGAGTTTTTAAAAAGATCCGTTTTCGTGTGAAAAAACTCCGTTTTCGTGTGGATGACAGGCCAAAACGTAGAAAAATATCTACGTTTTGGCAGATCCCCGGCTACGTGTGGACAGGGCCTTAGTTTCAGACAACCCGTATGTCCCACTATTTAAGTTTAGCAACCAATTCATGCGTAGAAACTTAAAATGTCTTCCTCATACATTCTCAGGGTTCTCCCCATGTTTTCAGAGCACATCGGTGGCATGTAGGGTCGAACACCAAACGGTGGTTCGCGAAGAGAGAGAGGGGGGGGGGGGGTGTCGTCGTCCTGCTACCGGTCACTGGGAGTTCCGGCACCCCCAGGGAATTTTTGTTTTTAGCATCGTTGAATCCTGTCTTGCAACCCAGGAGCAGGAAGGAGAACCAGGCTCAGGTTAGGGAAGCCACTTTTCTTTAACAACAAAAACATCACCACACACGGTGGGAAAAAGCTAAAAACAGAAGGTAATACATGAGAGACTTGACACGAGGTTCACTAGAGCTTAGTCCAAACATTCAAGACAACAGCACACCGAGGACAGGCAGCCGTGGCTTAAATCAGGGAAGTGATTGGGGATTGCAGTCAGCTGCAACACTCTGGGGAACACACAGGTGTGGGACGGAGCATCCGGCCGCAGCTTATCTGCACAGAAAAACAAAATATAGAAATGAGCAGGAGAAAAGAACCATAACCAAAATGAATAAAACAACAAGGGGAAGGGGTAAATCATGACACAAAGCTCCTTGGATGAGAAGTGAAACATCTTCAAGAAACCAAAGAAGTCCAGTTGCCTTCAGTTGAACCCTTTGGAGAACCATGACCTGGATGAATGAGAACCTTCACCAGCTTATTGCCCTACACTTTGGGAAAGACATCCTTGGAATTGTAAGGGAATATGGGAGGACATCAAGGAAGATGGCTGACCACAGAAACCACCTCCGCTTCAACCTGAGATGCCGACAAAGTCTCCTTCCAAAAAGCTTGAGACTTTGGAGCACTATTAAAGGACACAGAGCAGAAGAGATTCTTAAAAAAGCACAACAGCTGCTAAACGAATGGATAAGACAGGCCTACTTCACTATAGAAGCCCTTACCCACAGGATCTCCAACATCACAGAGAAGCTTTCAGAACTTCTACCTAGCACAGTGTTAGAACAAGTTTCCAATTTCACCAAAAAGGCTCAACGCAGCACAGGAAGAGCAAAGCATGGCAACAACGCAAATTCCAAAAACTACAGCAAAAACAACGGAAATAACTGGATCGCCACCAGAGGACACCAACCGGATGGATGTCCAGGACCAGTGGGTGAAGAATATATCACACTGATCCCGCCATTTCTCCACAACACATCCCCACAGTAGACTTCATCACTGCCACAGAATCTGTAATAAGAAACAACAACCTGGGGGAAACAGAAGCTGAAGAACTGAGGATCAAGGTTATAGCAGCTTTTTCGAATGCAAATACTCCACCTACTAAACTGTTCCTACAAGAAAGACCAGAACCTCACAAATTTAGCTGCAGACAAGGGACGTTGTTCAGTTATTCTGAATACAACAGATTACCACAACAAAGTCACCACACTTTGAGCAACAGCACCATGTATGAAGCTCTAAAGAGGGACCTGACAAGAGGATACAAGAAGAAAATTGCAGACGATCTACAGAAACCGCTAAAGGACACAGTAATCGACCGTGCATTTTACTACAGACTCTATTCAGGAGAAGCCACCCTGTGTATATGTGGTCTTCTGAAGATTCACAAGGAAGGAACACCACTTAGACCCATCAGCAGCAGCATCACCTCGGTCACATACAACATTGTAAAACATCTCTCCACCATCCTGGCCCCGCTGGTTGG